GCAGGAGGTTGCATATGAATTATCCTTCTTCAGTATGCAGTCCTAGTTATTAGTACAGGCAGGTGAATCTACTGAATTTAAAGACATCTCCAGAGCCAGGAAGATAAATGACCTATCCTTGAAGCAAGGCTGATGAGTTTCATTAGTGCTCAGGGACAGTCCAGGGTCTGTCTCTGGACAACCTTGGCTGATCACTTGCACTTCAATTTTAAGAACATTTTTATCCAGATAAGCACACTTGCTCCAAGGCTATCAGACATGTAAGCAAAGTGAAACCACTGATAAATGCATGCAATCACAAGGTCCGACCCACTTCTGATTTATACTGAAGAAATACTCTTTCTGCATGGCAAGCAAGGGTGCTGGAACACAAAGCGGATGTTAGGGAATAATTCACAGACTCCTGGTCTAGAAAGACATCAGCAGGGGTAGGAGGGAAGAAAGCACACTTCAATTGGTTGGAACCTTCCAAATTCTTACACTGGAAAGGCATGGAAAGGTGGTAGGGTGGATTGACTTAACACAAGGCAAATGAATTGTGAAAAAGCAAGTGTATTTGGTGACACACTGTCTGATTGCTCCTGTTTGGATCTTGTGACAGCAAGAGTGGCTAACAGACTAGGGAAGCCTCCATCAGTGGTTAGTTTAGCACGATCTATAAACTGGTATCTCTGCCAGGGTATGTACTTGGTTTATGATTCTGGCTTGTCAGGATAGGCTTGGCCAGAGATCGCAGTTCAGTTGTAATGCTGAAAAAAACACAGACAGAGGCTCCCTGCTTGGTTTAGCGTCTCCACTATATTTCAGCCATCACACTTGAATATAAGCCAGAAATCTGTGGAAACGGGCCAGTTCAGATGTCATGAACCTCACAGATACATTGATTTAGTTTAGAGATTAACTAAAAGGCTTCCTGAGTATATTTCAGAAGACTTTTCTAGGGTTCTGGCTGCAACTGCGTTTTAGTTTTTATTACCATTTGGACTTAATGTTTTACTGCTGGTTTCTTGTTCATTTTGGCAGTTTTGTCATTGATCTTTTATTTTGTGTCTTTATTCTGCAAGTAAATATTCAATCTAGATATAAACATGCTTTTTTATTCATTAAAATATTTCTAGGTTGCCTCTAGGCTGAACTGTACCCTAGAGGTATGTTAAAAAACCAAGCACATGCTTAGACTGAGATTTAGTAATCAACTTTTATGTAAGAAAAGAATACATTAAAAAAAAAACTCATTTCAATAAAACAATCCAATCTTTTAATTTTATTTTTACATCATCAGTTTTCATCCATCCTGAGTAACAATGATTTTGTACCAACAGACTACCCTATTTATTTTCTGTGGGGCAAATTCACTAGTACTGTATCCCTTCTACACAGAAAACTGAAGATGTTAATCACCCATCCTTCCAGGACTGAGCTCTAACAAAGGAAGAGCAGGAGCTGTTAATGTTAATGAACAAAATGATTGTCTTTGTACCTTTCGTGGAGTATTTATCCAAGCAAGGTGAGAAAAATGTGAATCCACCGATACAGCAACAACCTCGCAATTTACATCACGGAACTCCTTAGCTTTGTCACTAAAAGCAACAATTTCTGTTGGGCATACGAAAGTGCTAGTAGAAAGAAAGAAAACCAGAAAGTCAAAAGGAACAAGCAGCCCTCTTTTAAGAATGTGCATTTTTCCTACAGTACTTTTGCACAGAGAAGAGAAAAATAAATATTTGCTCATTTTGTTAAAAACAAGTATATGAATCCACTGGGTTACAGACTTTTAGCTCAAAGGGCAAAGCTCAGAAGAACAATGCCATTTTCCTGGAAAATACATTGAGAAAATGAGCATCACAACTGGAACTCTTATTTTTCAGTTCCTTGCAGGTAGGCTTATCAGATCCTTATTTGAGGCACCTTGATCCTATGGTGCTAAAGTTCCCAAGAAAGTTCTGTGATGGGTTCCAGGCTGCTATTCTTAGGGTGCTGCTGAGATCCCCCCATGCTGTCTCTCTCCACAACCAATTCCTTCAAAGCTTGTGTCCATCGTAATTATTATTGACAGTTTTTATTAGTTTTTCAATGAGACTGCTGGAAGGAGAAATGTGGTCCCCCATCCCAGGATTATAAGGCTCCAGTAACACCCTATAGAAGAATTTAGTAATCCCACATCCTTAAAACTTGGTTGAAGTAACAACAAATGACTTATGACACATTCAGATGCTGTGAACTCTGCACAGCACTGTTCTGACATGAGGGTCATCTGTAAGATCATACTTGTAGCAGGTTAGGCAAGTTAGACACACAGCAATGTTCACACTGGTGCAATTGGATACTTAAAACTGCAAAGAAGTTTTGGAGGCTTAGAGCAAAATGTCAAAATCAAAGGCATAATTTTGTCAACACAATCATTTTTCTCCTTCAGCTTTGTAGTGATGAAAGCTACTCTGCAGTTCTATAAAAACTGAAATTGGCCTGAAATTGTTAAATGGAAGAAATTAAGGTTTTTCCTTTTATTACAGGCAGAAACCCAAAGTTCTCCATAGTTCAGTTTGCCTTTATAACAGTCTACTCACTTGATGTACTCTCTGCTTCCTGAACATGCCACTACTAAATAGTTATACAAACACTCTTCATTACTGTCCAATTACTGTTGAGACATGGGCATGCTCATGTGTATGTTTCATCAAGGCATTGATAAGACTGTCTCCAGTCTGGCTTTATCGTTTGCACTTTCCACAAAGTGGCATCTACTGTGCAGAGATCCGTAGAACATAAGACAAAGAAAGTTAACTAAGGAGGTCTTAATCAGTAGAAAACATCTGTTGTTCAAGTCTTTTAAGAGATACAGCATATAAATGTTACTTACAAATCCAGAGGGTAGAAGAAGAGAACCAGGTATTTTCCTTTAAAGTCGTCTAAACTCAGCTCTTTGAAATCCTTGTCAACCACAGCTGTACCCTTAAAGTAGGGAGCATGCTGGGTGACAGCAGGAACAAACTTTGAAGAACCTAGGAAAAGTCAGTATACAATGTGATACATGTATTGTATGAGAGGGGTTAGAAGCAACACAAGTCCAATGCAGGCACTGTACCATTAAAGAGAGAGTGTGGATGTCCACACTCCACCCCACAGTCGTGTCCCTATTACAGTACACACTTTGCAGTGCAGGCAGCAGGAACCAGTCACTGCAGCCCGATCCCCCCATCCGCCAAACACCTCAACAGGGCTAAATGCTGCTGTCCAGAATGGCTCCAGCCAGTCAACCACACTTTCTTTCATTCCATACAACCTCCCTCCAGTCAACACTGTGCCAAAGTATGCGCGATCTTCAGAGGTGCCATTTCTGCTACAGTCATTTTGACACAAGAATAGTATTCACAGTAGGAATATGGACTTGGCTGTACTGGCCCAGTCTGGACACCTGTAGCTCAGCTGCCCAGTGCCGTGCGCAAACTAGGAAATAGGCAACCGGAACCAGTAAAACTCATAAGGATGCAAGCCCAACAAAGCTTTTGTGGCTGTTGACACAAGGATACATGTGTGTACTAAAGAGCCCTTTGCCTGTATTTTAGCACATGTGAAAAGTCAGTCAATGAGTGAAGCCAATGCTGTCTATTCCTATGCTTTGCTCAAAACTCTCCCCTGTGTAAGCTTGTGACTTCCCGAGAGGTTGTGCATTCTTACACAGCCACAGTCCCAATGAGACTGATGTATACAACTGAGTATCCTAAGAATACTGGACAGAATTGGTGGATCTGTTCCAATTGCTAAGAGTTACCAGGTACAGTCCTTATTTTGTCCCTGGTTTGCCTTTTGAGATCTAAAGTATGCCTCTCAAGTTTGTGAAAGAAAACCAATGGAACAGTCATCCTGCACTCCTCTTTTTCATTCTGATCTTCAGAAGTTAAAACTTTAAAATGCCTAGTGGAAGGGATAACTCTTGTCTGTAGCAACATGCAACATTAAGGCAACCACACAAACACAGCCCATCATTTCACACTGCAGCAAGAGACATCTGTGTAGCATATGCCAATATTTGCTAACATATGCCAATAGGTTGCACGGCTGGCTGGGAGCCGTAGGGGCCCCTTTCTGTCTAAACGTGCACAGGATCGCAGACTAAATTGTACGTCCAGCAGGAGCAGAGGAGACTGGTCGGGCAGAAGTCGCTGGGCTTAGACGCAAGCAAAGACATGCCCGCACTCCTCCTGATGCACAGGTGAGAATCGGGTGCGAGCGCAAACGGGTTCCCTCCCTCCAACCAAGATCGCTACACTTACTGGTACTGAAGTGGATCCGAGGGAACGCTGTCGCCGCGCCGGTTACACACTTCCGCCCGCTTGCAGCGGCCGACGCCGTAAGACATCGCCCGGCGGCGGCGCACGCCCTCCAAGTGCAGCCCGCCTGGGGAGAAACAAGCGACAGCGGAGTCAATATGGGAAGAGATTGTACCGCAGCAGGCCCCGAAGGAGACGCGGGGCAAAGCTCTAGCCAGAAGACTAGTAAGGCGTTAGGGGTTCGAAACGCACCAGTAAAACGAGGTGCGTAGCTGGCAGAACTCCTTTCAACTACATGGGTCATTCCAGAGTTGGAGAAAAGGCAGCCTCTTTGGGACTGATTTGGAAATGGTTTGATTCCGATTTAACATACTCATGAACCTTCAAGGCGGGACGACCTTTAAACCAAATCTATTTTACGGAAAGCAAGAAAGATCCCCGAAAGCTGTTAGGGGCGCGGTGGGTGGGTGAAAAATTCTCAAATTAAAAGATACAGCTGGACACTAATCCTTGCCAAGTAACCTTTTAGATACAATCAGATACAATTGCACTTGCAGAAGAAAGTTGGAAGGGAAAGAAAAGCGCGATCGGGCCTTTGCTCGGTAACGGTGAAGTCAAGCGACCGCAAACCCCGGGCAGAGGGCAAGTCCAAACCCGCCCTGGTAAGGCCAGGCCCATGCTAGACTACGCTGCTGAGCAGAACTGCTTCCCACGAACTGCAGAACTGCAGTGGAGTAAACGGAGCTTGCACCTACCGAGGGTTTCAGCAACCTTCTTAGGGCCCCAGCAGCAGCAGCAGCCATTTTCTGCTCAAAAGCGTGAATGAAGGGGGTAGGGCTTGCCCAATGCTCGGCGCGTGGAGGGGGCGGGGCGGGGCGGGGCTACGGCGCGGAATCTCATAGCCCAGAGCGGCGAGCGCGTCTACAAGGGATGAGCCTCTCACCGCAAAATGTGGGTGGGTGCATGTGGGGGGTAGGCGGGAAGACTCTAATTCATAATTAAAAAGAAGGGCCCATAAGGGTTTGAAACGGTCACGCATTGTTCTATGCAACCGAGAGCGCGGGTTTATTAAACAACCCGTGGAGCTTTTAAAGTATGCTTCACTTTAGCATTCTTACTTAGGATTAAGTTCTTTCCAACTCTGTGGGACTTGCAGCTAAATAAGCACCGATACGATCGAGTTGGTTGACCGGAGCATGCCCTAAATCTTTACTTACAAATACCGGAAAAAAGCATGAAATAATTTGCAGTGCAAAGCTGTATATGTCTACCGGGAAGTAAGGCCTTCGCATCTCAGTGACACTTACTCTGAGACAAGGGATTTTAGATCCTGGACTTAATTGTTTTATGGTGGTGGGATAGTCACGACTATTAGTTGTGAAGCACAAACATTGACTCCCTCACGCCCCAGCCATTTTTTAATGCTTCATAACTGGAAAGGGGATCTCTGAGCATGTGCCGTGTTGCTTTTAAATGCACTCTAATAATAGCACCACCATGGCTACAGAAATAAATACATTTGCTTCTGCACTTGCTACTCCATGGGTGATCATATGAGATTCCTGGACTTTAAAGGCCTGGTCCCCAAAATCCAATCCTAATTAAACTACTGCTCCCGGGTAACTGGTTATAATATTATTATTTTAAACTGTTGAATACAGAGGGTTTTCCATTAAATACATTAGGATTATCCATGCACAGGGTCGCATTATTAGGGAGTGGAAACGAGAACAGGAAATGGTATCTTTTTTAATATATATATATATATATATATATATATATAGCCAACATGTAGACTGAGTGGACCAGTGATTCACTTTCCAAAAAAGCTCAGACTTCCTTGGAAACAGCATCCAGCCTGAAAAAACTTGCCACGGAATGGATGACTTGGCAATCCTTGTTCAGAGATAAGGAAAAGGCACAGTACACATCACCAGTGTAACCCTTAATTCAGGGGTGTCCAGACTTTTTGCAAGGAGGGCCAGATTGGGTGAGGTGAAAACATGTGGGGGCCGACCATTCAGCCTGACATTCTTTGAACCATTAACATTAAATGTAAATGAACTATTTTATGAAAGACTAAACAACTGCACTAATGTGAAGGGTGATACTGAGATCTCGACTGCATTATATAGGCCAGGTCTGGCTCAAAAACAGTGGTTTTGATGCGCAAGATGTCACGCAGGTGAAAGTCACTTAGTCTCGTCCTCACGCGGTTCTTGTTAATGTTCATAACCGAGAATGTCTTTTCGCACAAGTATGTCGAACCAAACAAGCTCAGCATTTTCTTAGCAAATGTTCAAATCTCTTGAAATCTGTCTTTAACCAGCTGGTGGTAAAAGTTGACAAGAGCTGTTGGTGTCGACTGCGACACTCGGTGTCATACTGCAGCTCAATGAGCTCCAGCTGCAGGTGGTCTGGAGCGTCATCAGGGTCCACAGAGAAAGGAGATGAAAAAAGTGTGATCTCCTTTTCAATAGCGGCAAAATCCCGAAAGCGCTGTTGAAACTCTTCAGCCAGAGATGAGATGTCTGCTTCATACCTCCTTATTTGCGCACTCATATTGTTCTGTGGAAAACTGGTCATTATTTCCTGCAGCGATGGGAAATGTGTGATATTGGGCTGCGATTGTGACAGGTGCCTTTGGAAAAGTAGCAGCTTGGTCCCAAAGGCTTTGATATGTGAATACAGTTGGTTTACCACTGCATTTTGCCCTTGAAGGTTCGTGTTCAGCACGTTCAGATGTCGTGTTATGTCAACTAAAAATCCAAAATCAGCCAGCCAAACAGGATCAGATAGCTCTGGCATTGGTTGTCCCTCTTTTGCCAAGAATTGTCCGATTTCCTCCCTAAGAGAGTAGAAGCGCTGCAGTGCAGACCCCCGACTGAGCCATCTTACCTCGTTGTGATACACAACATCTCCGTATTCAGCCTGGATGTCGAGTAGAAACTGTTGAAACTGGTGGTGGCACAGGGCTTTGGAGTGAATATAATTAATAGCCTCCATCACCGGTTTCATAACATGATCATATTTCAGATGTTTGGCACAGAGAACTTGTTGGTGAATAAATCAGTGGAGTTTTATAGCTTTGCCTCCTTCTTCACTGACTTTGTTACAGATTAGGGTTGATAATCCACTTCTCTCGCCAGCCATGGCAGGTGCGCCATCCGTAATAATCCCAGTGACTTTATTCCACGGTAGTTTCATGACATCTACGGCGGAACAAACAGAAACAAATAAATCTTCCTCTTGTTTGGTCCTTAAGGCTCTGGAGGTTAAGTAGCTCTTCACTCACGTTCATGTCATTGTCCACTCCTCTCAAAAACAATAACTGAGTGGTGTCAGATGCATCCGTGCTTTCGTCGCAGGCTAACGAAAAAAGTCAAACTCCACTCCTTTTGCCTCTGTCTCTTAATATCAGATGAAACGTCTTCAATTCTCCATACCACAGTGTTACAAGCCAGGCAAACATTGGCAAACTCTTGCTTCTTCTCAGGACAAATTTTCTCCACCATTTTCATCACGCAGTCTTTAATAAATTCACCCTCAGTAAAAGGTTTGCAGTGCTTGGCAATCAGCGTTGCCACCTTGTAGCTTGCCTTTGTGGCATTTTCATTTCACTCACGGGCTCTTGTGAAAAAGCACTGCTGTGCTGTTAAAGCAGCTACGAATTCCTTAAATTTTTCGCCGCGTTCATTCCCAGTTAGCTTGTTGTAGTTAGCATGTTTCGTCTGGTAGTGCCTCTTGATATTGAATTCCTTGAAAATAGCCACAGTCTCTTGGCAAATTAGGCAGACACAGTTGTTTCGTATTTCAGTGAAAAAATACTCCAATTCCCACTTGTCCTGGAAGCAGAGGCCCTCACTGTCAACTTTCCTTTTTTTAGTTACAGTCACCATTTTAGAAATTGGCACACAAGAGTGCTGACGAGAGTGCTGACTCAGGCAAGAGTGCTGACTCAGGTCTACTGCCATCTTCTGGTGAAATATAACCACCAGCCTTGAAGGAGCAGGAGGCAGCAGGGGACAGCTGCGGGAACCGCTGTGCAGTGAAGGGAAAAACGCCAGCTGGTGGGGATGAGTGACAGGCTGAGCCAGCGGGGAGAAGAGGCTGCAGGCCGCTCGAATTTTGAAGACGGGCTGCAATTGGCCCCCGGGCCAGACTTTGGACATGCCTGCCTTAATTACATCCAACTAGGGAAGGCCCACAGCTCAGTGGCAGAGCCCTACATGTGGCCCAGAAGCATTCATGGCAAAGGGAGCTGGCAGAGCTGGCAAAGTGACCTCAGCTGCTCACAGGAAGGTGTCAAATAAAAGGGGGATAGGATACCCTGACAAGTACCAGCAAGGTACCCAAAATAAACTGGGCTTCCTGTTGCAAACACAGCTAATCCAAGGCATTTTTCTACCCGATATGAATGACAAGATGGTGCTCCCCTTGCCTCATCCCTGTACTGCAGCAAACCAGACAGGCAGCTGAGTCTGACTTGAACAGTGACCGTGGGACAGCATTCCTCCACAGCAGGCTGGCTCCGGGCCTGCATGCCATGTGGCACATGCAACTCCGTCCTCCAACACTTTGTCAACACTCTGACCCTGCCCTGCACTGTCTGTTGGCTACGGCTGCCACTTCATCCTGCTCGATTTTAGGGCTAGACCTAAGCAGAATCTGTGCTGTTCTGCTTCACAAAAAATGAATATAACTTGTTGCTCATATTCTGCTCTGCTCTCCTTAAATATTCCCTTTTACTGGCATTCCCCAGCCCAAAATGCACAAAAGCAACCCTGTTTCTACAGGAGAAACAATATACGGTTTTTGCTCACATGACCATCATGAGGTGCAAACAAAATTCCCGAGTCAGTTTTAAGAACATAGTAAGCCATCCAGAGATAAAGTGACATGTGAGATAAAGGTGAAAAAAGGATTGGTAAAGAAGAATGATTTTAACAATATATGGGGTAGGTTTATTTAACATGTATTAATAAAAGGGGAGTGTAATAAATCCTCAAAGGATGTTTTGAAATTTTGGATGGAAGAGGGTATCTCAGAAAGAGCAGAAAAATGAAGGAAAAAAAGAATACTAAACAGCCATGGTCCTGTCCCAGTCTCATTCTCATTCTTCAAATCATTTCATTTGTTCAGTTCCCAGAAGTTAGCCTGGTAATGTGCCTGTCTCCTTCCACACCCAAATACAGCTGCCACATTCTTCTGCACCAGTCCCTCCACCCAAACTCTTCTGCTTCCAAATGAAGCTTTTAATGTGCTATTGCCCTGTACCATTCATGGACTTTTAAAGGTAAAGGTAAAGGTTTCCCCTTGACGTTACGTCCAGTCATGCCTGACTCTAGGGGGCGGTGCTCATCTCCGTTTCCTAGCCGAGGGAGCCAGTGTTTGTCCGCAGACAGTCTCCATGGTCATGTGGCCAGCATGACTAAACACCGAAGTGCACGGAACGCTGTCACCTGCCCACTGAAGTGGCACCTTTTTATCTACTTGCATTTGTATGCTTTCAAACTGCAAGGTTGGCTGGAGCTGGGACAGAGTATGGGAGCTCACCCCGTCTGCAGATTCAAACTGTTGACCTTTTGATCAACTCATTCAGCAGCTCAGCAGTTTAAACCACTGCACCACTGGTGGTAAAATTCGCTCCAGAGGACATCAACATCCACTTGTAATCCTCATGTTATTTCTCACTGCTGCTTCTATGTTTTCTCTTACCATGGGAAATAGTAAAGAAGAAAAGTCAGAGTAGCTACATAATGCACTGAAAACCCCCTTGCTAGGAGTTAAAACTAAAGCTTTGGGGGAATTCGGGGGGCTGGCA